CTCACACGGATCAATCACAATCCGTCGGAGTCCATTTCTACCATCATCCCCTCCGTTCAAGCCATAGGCCTTGATCATCGTGTGATCATAAGTTTGGTGTGATTCCAATCTTATATCATTTGGTATCAGAGCTAAAAGCTCCTATCCCCTAGTATTTTTTTTTTGGTTTATTCGGTTTTGTTTTCTTTCGATTATTCAAAAAAAAAAAAAATTGCATTTGTTTCGGTTTTATTCAATAATTTTGAAAACAAAAATCCAAAATATATATTTTGTTTGCTTTCCATTGTTTTCAAATAATTAATTTTGTCCTTATACTTAAAAAAAAAAAAAAAAATCTTTTCTTTTTCTTTCCTTACCAAAAAAAGAAATGAGTAGTCAAAATTCTCTTTTCAAAATGATCAAGCTTTTCACATTTGATGATGCTAAAGCGATGTGTGCTGAAATTATTCAACCATCATTTGATGCACACCTTGATCACGAGTCAAGTACTTTGGTTTTGAGGACAAAACCTTGTCCAGAAGGAGAGTATGATGTGGACATCAAATTTCGAGATTCTCTACTTCACCAAGAGTCTCTTACTCACGTCCTTAGCTGCATTAAACCACATAAAATCAAGAGAATTCATGCAAGACCCGAAGTGCCTTATTTGGAACCGAATGCCTTAAATCTCCCAAGGCTCTTTCCAAAACTTGTTGGGCATGACTTGGAGACCCTCTACACCTTCAAGAAGCTTCCAAAAGTGCACAACTTCATGCCCAAGCTGTCTATATACAAGGAACCTTCATACTTTCTTCATTTGGACCAAATCAAGAAATAAATGCAATCTCAATCAATGGTTTGATTGATCTCATATTTATTGTAATTATACTTGTAAAAAACGTGTATGGGCTCTACATAAGCTCACTTCCTCCATTGTAATAAGCACGAATCATTTTATAAAAATAAACTTGAGAGTTTTCTACAAAAGTGTGTCTTTTGTGTCTTGGTTCGTCACCGGATTTATCTAAGTATCTATCTATCTATCTATCTATCTATCTATCTATCTATCTATCTACGTGGCTCCATCTATTTCTCTGAATCGTTCCAGATTCGATAATAAGCGAGGTTTGAAGTTTAGAATAATGATGACGACGAATAATGCTGCAACACGGGTCTTCTGGGACCTAAACACCTGTCCGGTTCCCTATGGCTATGATGGTAGTCGAGTTGGCCCGTCTATTGAACGGGCGTTGAAGAAATTAGGCTACTCTGGTCGTGTCTTTATCACTGGCATTGGCATACTAACAGACGTCTCTACCGAGGTTCTACAAGCGCTCTATTCCTCCGGAGTCTCTCTTTGTAACGTCCGAACCCATTGTTTTGGCGTTGAAATGAAAATTACTTGTTCGCTAAGTAAACCTCCTAGGGATAATTTAATGCTCATATCTGGTGAGAGGAGCTTCGTTTCATATCTTGACATGCTAGAGAGGAACCGAGTTCCCGTTATTCGGGAATTACACTCGGATGAGGTGTTTCCAGTCGTCGCCAATCCTATAGAACTATAGAAGGCTCTGTCTGGGAAAGGTTTGTATTGGCAGGTGGAGTGGATTCAGGAGACCTTGACGAGGACCCCGGTTGGTCTTGTGAAGTATGCTTTTCTACTGGCTATGGCTTTGAAAATTTCCTCCCGCATCTCAAACACAAACCTAGGAATGAGGCGACTAAAGAAGAAGAAGAAGAAGAAGAAGAAGAAGAAGAAGAAGAAGAAGAAGAAGAAGAAGAAGAAGAAGAAGAAGAAGAAGAAGAAGAAGAAGAAGAAGAAGAAGAAGAAGAAGAAGAAGAAGAAGAAGAAGAAGAAGAAGAAGAAGAAGAAGAAGAAGAAGAAGAAGAGAAGAAGATGAAGATGAAGATGAAGAAGATGAAGATGATGACAAACCTAGGAATGAGGCCTCGAAGAAGCAATCAGAGCGAGAATGCAAGAAACAGAGGACTTGAACAAGACAAGACAAGACTTCTAAAGAAGAAGAATAAGAGGAAGAAGAAGAGGAAGACTACATACCTCCTGTTCTTCTTCTCTAAGGCATTTCATATAGTGTATGCTTTTTTCTACTAGTATTGTATCTTATGGTTTGTGACTTACATAACATATTACTATTGTATATTATGATCTTTGAGAACACAAGCCTCTTTGTTCGAGTTTATCTTTGGCTTATGATCTTTCATGTGTTGATAAACAGCTCATGTTGAGAACTTTCCATTCTTTTCCTCGTTGAACCACCATTCATAATATTGACTTGTTCCTCCGATCTTGCTGCAAGGAGTCTCCAACTTCGACCATTCTTCAACAAGCTAACCAATGTAACAGTAGAACCTATTCCACTTTTAACACTATGCGTTTAGGTCCTTTATCCTTATGGTAACCTTGCACTAATTCCGCAGCTAGTATAGTGTCTCAATAAGTAGCCTACCCTTAGTGAAAAGGAGTCTGATTAGGTAGAAGAATTACCTCTGGGATAAGAGGCTTGAGTCTGGACACCAAAATCTTAGAAATCTCTTTGTAGAGTGTGTTGCAACAAGAGATAGGTCTATAGTCAGCAGCGAGGCTCCTGGATTCTTTGGAACTAGTGTTAGTATAGTTGCATAGGCTGCTTGAGGTAGAAAACTGTCCAAGAAGCTTTGAAAAAACTTGAACTTAGTCCATCTGGCCCAAGAGACTTATTTTTGTTTAACTTCATTAACATCCTTTGAATTTCCTTTTACCAAAAAAAAAAAAAAAAAAAAAAAAAAAAAAAAAAAAATCCTTTGAATCTCCTCTAAAGATGGAGTTACACGATCATGGATTGTTTCATCTCATTGCTGCATTTCTTTGTGTTTATAGATCGATGAAGGACCTGATGGAGTTTTCTGACTTGTGCACATCTATGGAAAGAGGGTTGTGTTCTGTTCCCCTTCCATTAGCCACTGAATTCTAGATTTTGGCTTAAAATAGGCTTCCACTATTTTTTAAGCCAACAATGATTCACTAAAATTCTGTCTAACTTTTTTTGTTATGGGATTATAAGGCTGATTATTAGTCCATGTATGATAGGTTCTCTGATATCTCAAGCCAAAGAATGAAAATTAAAGAAGAGCTCATCTCCATCAAAAAAGGCAGTAAAAATAAATCATTGTTAATGTAAAGAATCAAAGTTGCAAACATATGTTACTGTATTCGCTTGTTGCAATATATTTTCTGAAATAATCTAGGATGTTAAAGTTGGTGATAAAAACTTGATTTAGAACTGAAGAGAGATTAATTTTAATAATAAAACTTGATTTATTACAATAAGGAATTACAAAAAAAGGTACATACATAAAAGAACAAACACTTGATTTATTACACTAATTACAAAAGAGGTACATAAAAGAACAAATTGAAATGCCCATTGCTTTTACCTAACTTCAATGATCGTCTCTATCTTCTTCTCCTTTTGATTCTTCTTCATCTTCTTCTCTCTTCACATATGGAGCATAGATGCTTGAGTTGAGTATCTTTGCATCGTTAACATTAAGATCCTCAACGTGGTTTACAAAGGTGTAAACTCTAAGTTTCGTAAACGCTTTATAGTCACATTCTCCATAACCTCGGAATCCAACACGTTGGAGAGTGTTCTTTTCGGAATTGAAGTAGAAAACATAAAATGGTTGGCCAACTATATAATCGCCTGTTGACAAAATAATTTCACCCATACTACTCACTCCAACGACAACTACAGATGGATATTTGTCAACAAAGTCGTCATCAACTAAGAATTTATCATCCCACAAAGTGTAAGCATATTTCGACCATTCCGGTTTCTCAGCATCTTCTAGAACCCACACACACAATTCGATGACGACATCATTCTTTGATTGACAAGGGTAATTAACTTTCCTATCAATCAAACATAATTTACCCTTATAGTTTGTCAATTTATAATGGCTTTGAAGACCATAAATAAACTTGTATTTCTCTGACCTAACATCAAAGCAAACTAGCACATAATCATATGGTTCATTATCGTCCTCATACTCCGAGCTATCATAGCCATGATAATCACCTAAGTAATACAAAACTCCATAAATGCATATCCCTTCAGTTATAGGATCATGGGGTCAGGGACATTGGACCGTCCTCCACCTCATTTTCCCAGTTCCTATAGTCAGAATCTTATGATCATCACAACAACATTGATGAGGTTTCAGTACCTTATATTGCTTGTCAACCGGATTAAACCCGAAAAAGCTATACCTCGTTCCAGACATCTCCACACACCTTCTCATATACGGTAATTTTGCATATTGTCCTGTGTTAGGGTTATATATCACAGGCCCATAATCGTAATGAAGCTCGTCTAGTTTGATCCACATACTATAGAAATAGATCAAACCAGATGCATAACCACATGAAAATTGTGTGTCACTACTATCATCGATCCACATATTGGGATCTAAAGGGAAATCGTTTACTACAAGAGACGACGACGACTTCTCCTTTCGACTCATCAGAAGCTGAGGCAACGAGAAAATGCTCCACCAACCGTCTCCTTCTATGGCAAGTAAGATACTCGGCCGAGTCAATGACCTAGTCAAGAACAACTCCGTAAAACATGGACGACTAAGTATTGATAACCATAGCTTCGACACGCAACGAAACCTCGCTATTGACATTGCAGGCAATCTTAATAATATCTCGATAATGAGATCAATTGGGATGGAATCTGAATGCATGATTGCTGATAGAGAGACATAGAGAACCCCAAGCTAGCTATATATATTACGCGACGCAAGTAAAAAAACGGCAAAGTTCTAAAATAATTTAAACCGGTTTGGTACACATTTCCATTTATTACTCGGTTAACTTAACCGATTACATTAAATATTCAATTTCATACGAAACACACCGACATCGGTTTCTAATTTTCTATTACTTTTAAACCAGAACCGTAACATCGACATCGATTCATTGCTATTTATACAAAGTCCGAATCTAGTTTTCGTACGAAATTCAACTTCCTCAAAAACCCTAGCTTCCTTCTTCTTCATGGATCATCATCATCAACAACAATCCGATTCACCTATAGATGAACCCACAAATTCATCTTCATCATGGAGTTTTGGTAATCTAATCAAAACCCTAGCGACAAAATCCGAATCTGTAATCGGATCTTACCGTCGCGATTTCGAGGAATTCGGATCCGAATTGAAGAAAGAAACCTCAATAATCCGACGAGTAGCTTCGAGATTACCTGATTCTCTCGAGATCGGAGCCGCCGTCGCTTCGGAATCTCTCGAATCGGTTGGTCAAGTTATCGACGATATCGGCGCCACCGTGTGGAAATCAACGGCTAAGATTATTTCTCATGGTAAGGAATCTCTAAAACCAGATCGTGACCGTACAAATCAGGGTTTATCTGTGAAACCCTATAGTCGTTTTGAGATGATGTTACTTGCGATACAATCTGATAAAGGCACGTTTGTTAGAGAACCTGATGATTTAAGTGATTTTGAGAATTGGAGTTTAGGGTTTAAGTTAGAGGAGAAAAGGAATGAGATTGTTGATTTAATTAATGGAAACAAAGGTGTTAAAGAGATCTATGAGGAGATTGTTCCTGTTGAAGTTGATGCTGAGACTTTTTGGAGGAGGTATTTTTATAAAGTGTATAAGCTTGAGCTTGTAGAAGAAGCTAGAGTTAAGCTTGTGAAGAGAGCTATTTCCGGTGAAGAAGATGAGGATTTGAGCTGGGATCTTGATGAGAAAGACAGTGAGATTGGTTCAGAGAATGTGGTATTGGAGGAGGAGAAGGTAGAGAGCAGAGAGGTTTCGTCTAAGGACAGTGATTATTCGGTGATTTCGACACAGCCATCGTTACCTGAAGTTGAAGATCTTGGGTGGGATAAGATGGAAGAAGATGTCAGAAGCAATGAGGAGAGGAGTTTGGAGGTTGGTCAAGGGATTGTGGAGAGATCGGGTTGGCGAAGACGGGTTAGTGTAGCGGTAGAGGAAGAAGAGGATTTATCTTGGGATATTGAAGATGAAGATGATGACTCTGTTCATCAACAATAGATAGAGAATACTTGTGTTATAGAAGAGGCAAGATTTAGTGTGATCACAGTTATTAAGTGTGATCAATACATATACAATTCTTCGATTTGTATAGTCCTCTGCTCTAGTGAATTAAATCGAATGTTTTTAATTACACTAGATATGCCACAATTCAAAAGACAATGCAGTTCTAGGAAAGAATCAATTTAACATCTTAAATCTTTTCTCTGTATCAATATTTTGAGTAGCAAGAAGAGCTAATCTTAGGTGTAGTAGCGATTGCGAATGTCACGGAACAAAGCTGTGGTTGGAGCCTTGGAGACTGCAGCCACCAGTTAGGGGAAGATATTCCATATTCTTTTACACAAAATTTTAGAACCAAAACTTAAAACTTGTGTACAATGAAAATCTGTGCACTAGCTGTGGAGTTTACACGCCACAGAATCTGTAATGGCCGTAACATATATTTCTGGTTTGACAAATGGACTCCCAAGGGCCGTTTGATTGATGTTTACTAGCCTTGCTTGCTCTTTGGAGAGCCAGACGAGTCCTGCGATCACTTATTCTTTGCCTGTCCGTATCCAGACATGGTCTGGATGGAGGTAGCTGGTAAATTGCTTCAGGCTGCACCTAATCCTGACTGGTCTGTGACACTGCAGCGACTGATCACATACATATTTGACAGAAATAACTACATTATCCTTCGTCTAGCATTCCAATCAGCGTTTGGCAGGAAAGAAACCAAAGAAAGCATAACCAACAATCCAACATCACCGCTCACACGGCCAGCTTGCTTGCATGATAGACAAAATGATACTTTCCAGTATCATGTCTCTGCGCCACTTTGAGTTCCGGAAACTCCGGAGTCTACTCCAGCTTTGGTTCAAGTCGAGGATAAGTAACTAAGATTCTAGTTGTTAAAAGGTGCTCTGTTTTATGAAGAGGCATGCCTCTGTTTTTCAATCGTTTCTCGCTGGTCATTTCTGGCCTATTTGTACATAACTTAATTCGTTTAATCAATTTCACATTTTGACCAAAAAAAACAAAAAATCTCTGGCGCTGTCTTTTCTTACCAGTGCAGTTGCTACTGTTGCAGGAGAATTCTCTAAGGAGAAACACAATCACAAGCCGAAAGTTTGTTAAAATCAGGCCCTCTAGTTAGTCACCGGATTCACATTCTAACAAAGACTCAAATCAAATATAAAGAAAAGCAGATAAACCTGAAAAGGAAGAGTAATCAAACCACGACAAAAAAAAAACTCCTGCAAGCATTCCATGTTCATAGAGACAATATAAAGTCACCGTTTTAGTGTCTTCTTCATAATCCAGTGTCAAACTCAATTAAAAAAAAAAAAACTACAAATAGAGCTAATAGACAGCTAGCATCAGAGAGTCGAGTCTTATAGCTTCGATATTCTTCCCTTTTCCATCTGAAGATTACTGAGACCGAGTGGTTTCCTGCAAAATCAACAAAAAACTCTTAACACATAACGCATTTGCTTCACTTGAATGGATCAAGAAGGCATTGGAAGTTTATCATTATCTATACTTGTAATCATAATCAACGAATATGGACATTTTTCTTCCAACTTTATCAGGTTCATCTTCCTGTGATTTATAACAGTACTCAAAAGACATCAAATCACTAACGTCTAGCAAGTCTATGTTGTGACCATCGTGGAATATCACTTAGATAGTGTTTCTTAAGTATCTTAGCGATGTTCTAGCGTATATATTGATTCTAATCTTACAAGTATGTAAACAATAATGAACAAGAATCCAAGAGGTACAGATTAAATGAAGACATGAAGAGAGACTAAAGAGCTAGCAATGCATTCAGATGGCATAAATACAAGAATAGAGACTAAGAAAACAATCAAATAATAGAGACTGATCTGATCCGTGAAGGAAAAAAAACAGGGTGATTCAGATCAAAACTGTCAAAAACCGATGATCATACATACAAATTACAATTATCCATCAAATCAAACAAAAAAGATTCATCAATTTTCCAAAAAGTGTAGACTGATCAGGTACAAAAGAACATACAAATAAACAGAACAAGAGATATAAGAGGACTAAAAAACAAAATCGAAGTAAATAACCATCATACATAGATTCGAAGCAGAAACGACGAGACTTCTATAATTATGCGAAGACTGCAGAGTCTAGAAGCAATGATGCAAAGGTTGAACATAGTGAAATGACTGCAGAAACTATAAAAGAACTGAAAAAAAATGCAGAAACTAAAGAAGACTTAGAAACACCACAATACATAAAAAATTGTGTACCTCTAGTTGCAGCTAGACCTCAGTGACCAGAGGTTCAGGTTGTTTCCGAGGATCTACACCAAAAAAAATAAAGTTAGTTAGATAACTGATATTCATCACTGAACATATATTGAAAAAGTTAAATAAAGAACCAGATTACCAAGTGACTCTTGAAAGTCAAGTTCTTCAAACATTTGCTTTAAGCTAGGAAGTTGTTCTTCAGACTGGAGGGAAGTTTGCAACCATTGTTGTGTGCATATCAAAGCTTCGGTAATGTAAGGAGTCAAAGAACTTCTATACGGGTCCAAGATTCGACCACTAGTACAAAAAGCGGACTCAGGAGCAAAAGAAGACATTTGAATTGCAAGAACATCTCTAGCCAATTCTGACAAGATTGGGTATTTTGAACTATTACGCTTCCACCATGACAAAACATCGTAATCTGATCCTAAACCCCATGGCTCAACTTTTTCTATCAAGTAATCATCCAGCTGTTTACTTGCTTCTTCTTTTCTCATTTCTTTAATCATCTCCTTGTACAAATAGTCACTCCTTATATACCCATCAGAATCACTTGATTGCTCAGAACCCCCATGATTGCTTTGGGTTGCAGCAGCATCACTTTGAGACTGTTTATTCAGCATCATAGTATACTCTTCATATAGATGACGCATCACACTTCTAATTGACGATGTAAGATGATTAGCTTCCAAACTATCTTTACCATGGAGCATGTCAAAGCAAAGTGAGGCAAACTTCATTTTCTTTCTTGGATCAAACACACTAGCAACAATCACAAGTGGATTTATATTGATCAATCCATCCCAGTACTTCTCAAACTTGCCCCTCATACTTGTTGCTTGTTTCTGTACTTCTTCGTCAACGCTGTTACTTAATTTGATTAGATTCGAGTCAATAGTGGCAATCTCACTGTAACCATTTGAAGAAGCTGCTGATTTAGATTTCGAAGATCCAACAGTATAATTGAAAAAGATTCTGAGAAATCCTACCAACCTTTTCACTTCATCCCAAGTAGATGAAATTGGCGGTCCAACCCGTTTTTTTCCAGTCTCCTCCTCTATTTCAAGAAAATATTTACCATAAAGCTTGTCTTCACCCAACATCTTCTCAAAAGCAACCCGTAACTTAAGTGCAGCTACCAACATAAGATACGTCGAATTCCACTCAGTAACGCAATCCAATGACAAGCTGCATTTAGAAACCTTTCCCATCTCTATACGAAACTCGAATGACTTTAATCTTGAGGATGATGACTGCACATACTTCACCGCATTCCGAATAGCAACGATACTATCACTCACATGCTCCATACTTTCTTTAACAAGCAGATTCACGATGTCACCACAACAACGCATACGCAGAAAATCACCATCTTTAACTAATGCATTAGCTCCCTTCAACCTCATAGCATCCTGGAATAAGGTTAGAGCCTTATCATTACCCTCAGCATTATTAACCGTGACTGTGAAGACTTTCTCAATTCCCCATTCATCTAAACATTCAATAAGGTGTCTTGCAATCGTTTCTCCTTTCTTATCTGTAACAGGCTTAAAGCTAATGATTCTCTTCTGCAATTCCCAATTTGCATCAATCCAGAAAGCTGTTACAACCATGTAACTACACGAGGTAGTAGGAGCTTCCCAAATATCAGTAGTGAGAGAGACTCTCTTAATCTCAACACTAAACAACACCTTCAAAAAAGCCTTCTCTTGCAAATACATTGTAGCAATATCCCTAGCAACTGTCAATTGTGATACATCATCGTACATAGGGAGTACAGTCTGACAGAATCTCCGAAAGCCCTCCGATTCAACGAAGGAAAACGGCAGCCCACTAAGAACAATCAACTCACTGACTGATCTTTGAAAATCATCTTGATCACCACTAGTCGAAACTTTTTGTTCACTAGTCTCTTGATAAGCCTTAAACAGCTCACATCTTCCAATGTCATTCCTCGTACCATTAGTGCTCTCTTTATCATCGTCCTTTGGAACAAAGTATTGCCGTATATCAGAACTTTGAGCAAGTTTCTTCCTTGGGTTTGATGGAAGATCAGAACTTGATCTTTGAGTTTCTGTCCTTTTCTTTCCTACACTAGTCTGAACTTGAACTTGTTTATCAACCAAGTCATCGTTGTTGTCATGAGAAGACATATCTACAAAACACACAATTCTCAGTTTCAAGTGTCAACATCAAACAGATTCACAAATCACAAGCACACTTAAATCAAGACTCTTATCACAAACTCGTAGTTATACTTGAAAGAACTGAGAAAGAACAAAACTTTGAAGCAGATTGAGTTTAACATTTAGACTGATATAGAAGAAACACAAACAAAAATAAACCTTTAAACTCTAATCACATGAATCAAGTCGATTGTGAAGACACTTAAAAACTTCATTTGAAATCGAACAAACATCAGCGAAAAAACATTCTTACCACGGAGATGAGAATGTCGGTCAGAATCGAAGGCTCTGAGAACTGTCACCGTCGGAGATAGTTTTGATGGAGATGCTCGACGCCGCCGCAAGTTTCGAAGTCAGAGGAGAAGGAAGAAAACAAAAAAATCTTAAAATCAGGTTTAGACATTTTAGTAGTTTAATTTTCGGTTATTTCGGTTATGAACCGAAACCGAACCGAAGACTGAACTAAAAAGTTAACAGTTGCGGATCGGTTCTCATCCAGAACCCGAAGTAAACCCGAACTTCAACTTCGGTTCGGTTCCGAATATTCAAATATTCAGGGATTTGAATATTTGTGTTTTTTTTTTAGTGTCTTGATTGGTTTATAAAATCTCTCTTTTTTCCGAGACAATTATTAATGATTCTCCGTTGCAGAAAAAATAAATTTAGCGAGAAAGCAGTCAAAAACTATATTAGACCATCCTCATTTTTTAATATAACCTCTTATGATTTGTTTAAAATTAATTTTGAAAAATTTATAATTAAAAAGTTGTGTAATGGTTTTAAATTTTTTGTGTGTCCAATGATAGATTCTTAAGTTGTTGTTCTTAGAGAATTTGTTTTTAATAGAAATAAAAGAAATAATTTTAATTTTAGAAAACTTAATTATTATTGCAAATGATAAAATTTGAAACATACTATAATTTATAACATATATGACATAAAACTTAATAGTTTTAAATTTGATTGTTGCCAAAAAAATTTTATATATGCTCAACCAAATTAGATTTCAATTGTTGATGCATAGCTCGATCACGAAGTCGAATTCGAGTGGCATCACATTTACGAGAGTTGAATGCATATCTGTAGAATAGGCTAAATCCACTTGTGAACTTCCGGCAGATTCCGCTTGTTCGAATTCGGTTACATTAAACTAAGTATACCCATCTCGTTCGTCTTCTATTATCATATTGTGAAGTATTATACATGCTCACGAGTCTCTCGATCAACGGATTCAGACTCAAATCTCTGATTGTATCCATCAGCAAGAGTCGAGAAATTTTTTGCGAAGAAGAAAAAGAGAACACGAGATGAATTTTTTTTTATTTTGTTAAAATTAGCATATCTAATAACGTGATGACACATCATGGACTCTTATAATGTGTTTTGGCTCTTATATAATATATGTCTCTTAGCATATAACCAAATTAAACATTAAATTTTAATCATAATTCCCTTAAAAAACCATACTAAGAGCTAATGTTATCTTCTCCAACCGAATGGCCGGCGTTTTCAGTGTATTTGGAGGAATTTCAAAGTGATAAGGAAGAGTTTTCATCTTTTTCTTTATCTTTATTTGTTCGTAGGGCTAATGTTAAACCGGATAATCTGGCACGAAAATAGCACGAAAAGTTCGTACAAAACCGCTTCATATCACATGTGTAAACAACATTCCCCAAAAATGGCTCTTTTGAGCTTTAATTAATTTCGGATGACAAAAAAAAAAGACAAATTAAGACATCATTCTAATCCATAATGATCTTAGCTGAAAGGAAAGCTTCCAAATTGTGTTGCTTCCAAAATGAAAGCTTGGCCTCCAAATCCCATTCTTCTACCTGAGCATCCTTTTCCACTCCAAAAGCACAATCTTCAATTTCATCGTCGGTCCAAGTTGGTTTCACAAACTGATCGTCTTTATCAAAGTGATCCTTTTCATGATCCTTCTCAATCCAAAACCTCTTCTCTTCCCAATATTTCGTAGTACCCCTAGCTTGTGAGATACGCATGTCTTCCAAATTCAGTGGTGGAGTAGCCACCAGAGAAATGGCGGGGAAAAAGAGTTCGGAGCAAAGAAGGAGACACCAGAGACGGTGGAGTGGGAGACACCGGAGACAGTGGAGTTGGAGACACAGGAGGAGAGGAAGAGCTGTCGCCATCTTCAGTGTTGGAGGAGAAGGAAGCGCTAGCAAACCTTCCACGGTTGCTAATGAGTAACTTTTCTGAGATTCAAGGCCTATTTCATTTTTTCTTTTTTTCAGAGAGAGAGAGAGAGGGGGAGAGAGAGAGAGAAGAACAGAGAAGGTGTGAACTCTTCCTCCATATTTCTCTGTTTTTATAAAGAAATATGATCGTTCATTACCGGCAAATTCAAACCACCGTCGTACCTTTGCTCTGTTTTCTCTTTCGGAAAATTTTCATCGAAGAGAGAGAGAGAGAGAGAGTACTTTGACCGAGACTTAACCTAGAGAGTAGAGACTAGAGAGTATGGGCTTATACATTTATGACGTAATCATCATATATATAAAAGTTGGCCAACTCTCTCCATATGAGTGACACATCATCACACAAGAAAATGACATGTGTCATTTAACATTATTTAAATTAAAAATCAACAAAATTAATTGAGAGAAAATCAAAAGTCTCTTATTGTGTTAAATCCCCCATTAATCCATTTCTTAAATGATTTCTTCAAAATAAAAATAAAATTATAAAATTATTTTAATAAATCAATTACTACTTTCATTTTACTTTTATTATTTTTCTATTTTTTAATTTAATGGTCAATAGTCATCACTCGATAATGACTAAATAATTATTTGTGTTGTAATTTAGTTGTTTGCTACCTAATATCTTATTAGTTTAGTATTTTTACGTTGAATATTTTTTTAATTATTACGTTATGGTTCATATCTTATCATATGACATTCTCTCTTTTCATTTTTGTATCTTATGGTAAGTTCGTAACATTGACATGCAAAATTTCTCAAGTAATAGGCTTTTGAAACGTTAGACATACCACGAAATTCAAGACAAATCCATTTCTCTTCTATGGCAATATGCAATAGCATAAAATCTAAAAGTGTTACTTAAATAACTCTTTAATTTTTGCTTTCTTTTTTCTCCTTTTCATACGAAAACTCTTGAGATCAAAATATCTTATATTCTTGTTGTGTGTATTCATGATAATGAACAAATACTAGAATCTTAGATATAAAAATAATCAGATTATACATGAAAATGTATAAATTGATATTTAGAGTCAAAAACGAATCTAACAATAAAAATTGTAAGTACAGAAGATGAGTCTAATTTTATTAAGTATACAATAACAAACAAAAAAATAAACATAAATTAGCGACAAAAACAATATACATTTTTTATCTTAACAATTTTCGAAAAAAACCCACGCGTAGCGTGGGAATTCATCTAGTATATATGAAAGTTGGTCAACTCTCTCCATCCTTCCACCACGTCAGCAGAGGAGAGAGTGCCACATGTCACATCAACATATTATATTTATTATTTTATTTTATTTAATTAAGAATATAAATCATGAGATTGACAAAAAAATAGAATATAAATCATGCATTAATTTTTGCTTAAATAAAAATTGACATATTTAATATTTTAATTTATTAATTAAATAGTTTCAATTTAATCTATATATACATTTTTGGATCACAATTAGCAAATAAATTCTGAAGTTGAGAGGTATTTACAATGACATGCCATTAGCATTAATTATTTAGATTTGTTTTATTTAAGTAAAGATTTTTAATTGAAATTCATTTCTCATATATTTAGCAAAAGTCTCTACAAAATCGTTCCTTATCTATTTAAGTAAAGATTTTGAAATCAAATATGTTCTCAACAATTTACCAAAAATCTCTACACAATCTTTTTAAAAATCTCGACTTAGTTAACTTCTGATTTTTATCTGCAAAAAAAAAAATTAATTGTAACGAGTGATGTAAAAATCGGGAATGTTGATACTACAATTTCTTCTACTTCTTTTTTTCATATAATGAAAATTATTTTTTAGGGATATTTTTTTAAAACCTCTAAACAAAACAAAGGGTTTCAAAAGATAGCTTCTCTTTTGGCGGGTCGACCCGCAAACCCGCAACTCTCTACGGGCTTATCCGCATGAACCTGCGATCCGTAGTGGATAAATATATTATTCAAAAAAAATAACAAATGATGTTTAATTTTACGGGACGGGGTTATATGGTGCAACGGGTTTAGATCAATATTAATATTAAACAATATACTATGGATGAAATCCTAGAATTAAAAATCAAAATTTAATTATAAAATCAGAAACACTAAACAAAATTAACAATATTAACAAAACAAATACAACTTAAAATTTTCCAAAATAATTTTTTAGTTATAAAAAAATCGACCCGCGGTGTACCGCGGGGTAAAATCTAGATTTGGAAGTTTAAGGAAGAAAAATCTTTTTTAAAAAATAATAGCTCCGCGGTGTACCGCAAGAAAAATCCTCCGCGGTGTACCGCAAGAAAAATCTTTCTCCTAAACTGAGTCAAGAAGAAGAAGAAAGCCAAATGTCGTTTAAGTGTATATATAGATATACCATTTAAACCTAAAACACAATTAATATACTCAAAACTATTAATATAGATATATGGATGGTACATTTATAAAATAGGTCAAAATATTATATTATACTCTCTATTAATAAACAAAACTAATTATATTTAGATTTTTTTAAAAAAAATTATAGCCCCGCGGTGTACCGCGGGTTCAAATCTAGTCTATATATACATTTTTGCAAGGGATTTTGGTTTTTAATTCATTTGGGTCGGGTTTTGACCCGGTTTTAATCTATTCGTATCGTGGATAAGACATTTAAGGAAATTATTTAAAAAAATAACTTTAAAACGACCCGATTTTATGGCAATCGGGTATAACACTGAAACATTTATTAAAACGACATTAATTCTTCTATTATCCATATTTGTTAATTTCCTTAACTTATTACCACAACTTCCGACCACAACTTCATATTAATGCTCATAATAAATGTCCAGATTTTAACAATATATACATATATTATGAAATTAGAAAGAAAAAAATGTATTTATTTTTTATATAAGAAATATTTTTTGATAGAACAAATATAAAAATGCAATATATATATATATAACTCTATCACCATCTAATTATATAACAAAAAATTGATAAATTATATATGGTAATTGATATATGTTTACATTTTTAAAAAAGATATCTCATTATTGTTTGTTTGTTTTTATTTTCTTTAAAACAATTTTTATTGTATTAAATATGTGTGAATATTCTAATAATTAGTTACGTAAATTTTATTTTACAATAACAGACTAAATATGGGCAGTTCCCCATTTAAATTACAATAAATTTAAAATCAAAATAACAATTAATATATACATTCATAAGGAAATCATAATAAAATCTGTTTAATTGAAGATTATATTTCCTAATCTTCACAATATATTCCATCACATAATCCGTAATTGTGTTTTTGATATATTTGAATATCAAATATTAAAGTTTTACGGGATTCTCAAAATATCTTTTATAATAAATATTTACCAAAAAAAGTTAAAAATATGATTTTTGACGATATTCTAGGCAGAAATTGTAAAAGAAATATTAAGATATTTTTGTTTGCATCCTAAACCTAAATCCGAACATCCTCAATCTCAATAAATACTCTTTTTATTCATTAGCCGAATTCATCGCATCCCCATGTTTACCGTAATCGATAATTTGCATCATCAAATTACCTCTTCCTCATTTTTTTTTTATCATGGTTGTTCATCTATATCATAGCAGAATTTATAATTTGCATTTTTGAATTTGCATGCGATTTATTTATTCTTCTCACTGTTTGTTACATATTGGCGTATCTAATATGTTATACTATTCCAAAAACATTGTTGCAAATTTTCATTTGAGAGATTTGATCTATTTTGATTTATCGAGTCTTCCAATTTGAAAAGCAAAATTTTAGTTGTCTAATTTTATTTTCCTCTAGAATTGATGCAGCTTTTCTCAATCTGTTTGGTCCTCTCTATCCTCAAGGATTCTCAGATACTTAACCAATGTAAATCTCAAATTATTATATATTTTGTATTTAGTGTATTTTTTTTAAATGTAAACTGATTTGCAAACAAAAAACAAATTAGTACAATGGTTTATAGAGATGTAAATATTGGGTAAAAATATTTTTTTGTCTGTTATGTTACTTAAATCTAAATTTTGATTTCATAAATATTAGGGTAATTATATTATATACTGTTTTATCTATATATACATTTTTGCAGGGGATTTTGGCAAAAAATGTTAGAGGGTAGGATGATTTTTTTTTATTTTGATCCGGAAATCTTCAATCGGATTTTTTCTTGAACTTTGGCAACCTAAAAAAAAATTAATTCATAAAATCTAAAAATAAATATCTTTTCTCAATTAATTATTGTATCTAAACTCTTTATTTATGGCATATTCTTTACGATTTTATAGATAAAAAATCAAATATGATGATTTCATGCTAAATAATAAATTTGAGCTAATTTACTAAAACCTATCTACCTAATTTAAAACATAAACTAGATCATCACCTGTACTACAGTACGGGTTAAATTTTACTTATTACAAAATTTATATATTATATATATTAGAATAAAGTTGTGATATATTATAATAATAATTGAAAAAATATAATTAGATTTTTGTCAATCTCTATATATAATATTAGAATGAATTTATTTTCTTTTTTAATTAAAATCAATTATAGATATATTTTTTTAAGATATGAAAACGGAAAATAAAATTATTTTTATAAATTAATATGGTCTGAACAATGAGTTAATTTATATTAACAACCGCAAAATGAGATTGCATATAATTCAGTTAGATCAAAAATCAAAATACTATAAATGAATCGCTTTTAAAACGTAGATTACTAGAATTTAACCCGCGGTACACCGCGGGGCTATATTTTTTTAAAAATGTAATGTTATTTTTTTTAAGATTAACTGAAGATATATTATATTAATTTATATTTTTAAATGTACATATCTATCTATCAATTTTTGAAGTATATATACGAAAACATACATTTTTTTAAAGTAACGATCTATGGTGGATTTTAAAATTTTGAATATTTTACTCTGCAGTATACCATGGGTCGGTTTTTTTATAACTAAAAATTTTAAATTTGGGTTGGATTTGTTTTGTTAATATTGTTTCTTTTGTTTTGTGTTTAAGATTGTATAATTATATTTTGATTGTTAATTTTAGGATTTCATCCGTAATATACCGTTATTTATTAAATCGACCCAAACCCGTCATCCCATATAAACTCATCTATATTATCTCATTAGCTAAATTATTAGTGTTATAAAATCCAAAAAACTAAATTATTATTGTTATAAAATCTAATAATTTTAAGATCTCACCCGTGGTATACAGTTCTTTGAATGATTTTAAATTTATACTACTAATATATATTTTAAATTTATCATATAAAGTATATGATTTCAAGTTTTTGTGTTTTTTTTTATTTATTTAAATAAAGCAACGGCTTAAATGATGATAAATATAGTTCTTTTTCCTGTATGTGTATATGATATTTCTATGTGAATATTTTGATTATTATAAATTAGTATTTTTATTGCTATGCAAAATGTTAATAAATATATTTGTTATATATTTTTTTTGAAGATATATGGAAAGATTGTGTAGAGATTTTTAGAAACAAATTAGGCAAGATATTGTTTGGTTAATATCTTTTATTTAAATTTTGTAAAAGTAATAATAAATGTCAATGGCATGGACTCGTAAATAAGGTGGAACTCCAGGATTTATTTGTTAAATGTACTCCAAAAATGTATATATAGATTTTTAATTATTTAAGAAAGTTAGCTATTAATTTAAATTAATTTAGGAAATTCTTTTTTCGATTTCTAATTCTTTGGTTGTTGAAACAGAGATTTGTTTGAGGTAACTACGGAATTTACCAATTATTCGCGTAATCGAATATGTTATGAACATATATTTAGTAGTATATAATATACCAAATTCAACCCGTGCGTGGAGTCTATATTTTTATTTTAGAATCCTAATGAAAATATTGCGTGTACAATCTATTATTCGTTATTTCCAAAATTGCTTGCACAATCAAATTTTTCAAATATTTTGTGGTGTCAACCTTATTTAATCTATCTGATCATATAATCTTAACATGCCGTCTATTATAAGGATCATAATTTTATATCATATAATATATTACATTTAACCCTCCGCCTACTATAACTATTTTAAATATATCTTTTTAGAAAATCAAATTAGAGTTCATTCTTTCCTTTGTAAAACAAATGTAATAAGAGAATCACTAAAATCATCCACCGCCAAAATGACAAGTTGCTTATGATCATATACGTATATAACATTAACCAGGCTATGTAATAACAGAAATCGAATATAAAGAAAAGAAAATAAACCCGAAGTGGAAGAGTAATCAAACCACCACAACAAACTCCTGCAAAGAAACACTCTCGAGAAATTCCCTGTAAAGATTCATATAGGATAGGTTTTGTTAGCCAATTTGCATGTTGAACCAACTCCGCAACAGACTTGCAAGAGCTCCGGCAAAGAATGTTGTAAGATTCCTCATTTCCAGATAAATATTTTCCAGTACATTCAATGTTCATAGAGACAATATAAAGTACCGTTTGAAAGTAAAGGAGAAGTGTCTTCTTCATAATCCATTTTCAAACTCAATTAAAAAGAAAACAAATAGAGCTAAATGAATAAGATTATATTGTCATCTTATGCATTATGCCAAATGAATAAGATTATATTGTCATTTTTTTTTTTTTTTAATAGTAAAATCCTCTTCTTGAAATTCAAAGTCATTGGTTTAGGATGATACTCGTCAATATAGACTAAAAGGAGGTTTGTTTATTCCATTCTGAATGGAAAATCCTATTATATTCTTTGACTTTCAATTATAATCATTTATCAAGTAAAGCAATGGTGTCTATGGACTATGATTTATCGCATTGCGATTTGGGTAAAAAACTGATAAAAGTTTAAATAAAGGAGCATCTTTTCAATCATATTGCGTGGAAAAGAAGTTTTAGAAAATATTGAGATGTGTTAGAGAATTTTAAAAAGTTATTCGCTATACTCTTCTTACCCTTTTTTCGACTTGAAATCTTACAATTTAAGTCACGTAGCCATTTCACAATACATAGATCATGACCAACTCAACATTATCATGGACCATAGAGCTAATGTTTTTGAACCTTATCATTGTTTTGGGGGTTTTACTACATGTTTAAGAATTTATTTTATAACGTTTTTGATATAAATTTTGTTATATAACAGATATATTAATTCATATAAAATTTTTGTGAACCTTTTACAAATTTGTTTTTACTTTATTAGCTTTTTGTTTAAAACAATGGTTAAAAATGAGTCTATCCATTGTTGGAACACGGAATTAACCCAAGCCATCACACCATTTACCCTCCTTCCTTAGTCGGCATACACAAACTTACATAAGAGAAATTAGTACCCCGTCATCTAACATTTCGGGTTATGTTGTTCGCTGAACATTTTTTTTACTGGAATGAAATTGATGTTATAAATTCGGAAATGTTACAATACACATGAGAAAGAAGAGATTAAACTACAAAGAGACATAATGCTAGACACATAACTTAAAACTAGATGAGGAAGAGACTTTTCAATAGTATATACATTGCAAAAATCAAATAAATCTTGACACGAGACTCTCGAAGCTCACCACAAAGACTTCCCACACAATAAACTATGAAGATGGCCTTTAACACTTATGGTAAAATGAAAAGTACGATTGGCTGAACAATTCATAGTACAAAAATTTTTTTTTAAAAAAAGGAATTTGAAAACTAGAAGAAAAGTCTAAACTAAAAAAGAGAGTTTAGATAGAGCTCAAAACTGAATTTTCCATGTGCTTTTTATTTTAAATAAATCATAGCAAAAAAGTTGTTGCAACAAGTAATATATAAAAATGTATTTGTAGAAAATAATCTTTGACCGAAAAAGAATTAAGAAAATGACACTGCCACAATAGTGTTTGTCGGACAGCAAACATAAATTACTTTAATAATCCCATTTCTTTTCTTTGTTTCTCTGAGTCGTAGTTATTTTTTTAATTTCTTGGTTGTGGCTATCTACTAATATTACACTATATAAAAAATTCAAAACAACTAGATTATTTTCCTTATGTGCATGAGCTAAATAATATTATAATAAATTATAAATTTAAATATTTATCTTTTCTAAAGATCCTAGGCCAATGTTTCCTCATTTTCTTATGTCTAACATACATGCCTAGTTATGAGAAATCAGGTTGGAAGTTATGGAAATAGAGAGAGTGTGAGAAAATAGAAATAGATATAAGGAAAACAAATATAATCCTAATTGTATTTTAAATTTAATGGATGACATGTGTAGTTCTGAGAATTATAAAATTACTTCAAGTTTATATATATATAAGTATGTTTAGTGTTGACGTTTTGCTTAGTGATTCTGGTATTTTAGACTCATTTTGTGATGTTTGCAAAATAAACTTTTGATACATCTTATTATGCAATGTTTTACTAAAGATGATGAGCCATTTACTCTAATACATTGTGATCTTTGGGGTTTATGTGAATTTAAACATAATATTAATCTTTCTAAAAAAGAAATATTAATTTTAAGTTTTTCGCTCTATTTATCTATACAACAATCAAAAATAATTTTGTCTTTTTCAAAATTAGTTATTCTTGTACGAGGCGAAAGACACCACCTAGTATCTATATATATCGCAAGTATTTAAACAAAAATACCATTTCTTACGAAATCAAAATGTTAGGTTAAGAAATATCAACAAAAAATTTGCGGACTTGAAATATTTTTTTTTAACCAAAAACAATTAGCTTAACTTTCAAGAAAACTTGATTATATTTGTCCAAACAAACTCAAGATCTTACTTTGTTCCAAGAAATAATTAAGTTTAAATTGTCATGAATATATAAGTTTTGTCCACATGGACGTAAATTCTCAATTATTTATACATCTTCGATGGTTTCACCGATTTCATGTTCTTGTCTTTTTGGAGGATTGACCATGTTGCGACTCTCTATGATCACCTGGAGATATCAATGCCACTAAATTAGTTGGGAAAAACAAGATGACCCAAATTCTGATAACAATATTTACCTAACAATGTCATTTTTGATTATTTTCCTATAAGAACTCAACAAAAGTCACCTAAACATTTGATACACAAGGAAGGTGGGGAAAAAAGCAACATACCTTCAGCATCTAAAGTAGGTTTCGCTGGTCGAGTGCGCTTCTTAACATAGTTTTCATCAAGGGGTTTTGGCATTTTGAAGGAAAATCGAGAAGGATTTACTCCCTCTCTTATGTATTCAGGGTGGTCATTCAAGAACCTGCAAACCAGCAATGAAGTTTATAAGGGTGTAAACAAGTTGTATATAAGATACCGAAAACTAGTTGAAAAATCACTAAGCTTTTCTTCTACCATTGTTGTTGATCTCCAATGCTACATGGTAAATATAGTATTACCAATATAGGGATGAAATCTTAAGTTACTTCTTGGCATTTCACAAGTGTTACTTCTTGGCTTCTTATAAATTACTTAACACTTGTGAAAAAGAAAATATTATGTCAATTATAAGATATATTGGAGTGCTAAAAAGACTTACTTTTTGACATCCTCTATTGATCTAACAATTATCCTCTTCTTTATTGATAGAGCAAAATAATAATAGCTGGAAAAAAACAAAAAAAAAAAACAATTATAAGGAAAGATAGCTTGGTACTATATATACAACGGTTTTAAGAAGAAAAAATGGGCCAAAGGAACTACTTACACATCCGCGAATCTTGTCGATCCTTCACGTCTAAAATGCACTTCACGTTTCCAGCCGGTTGGTGGGCAAGGGATGCTAGGCACATCAATAGCCCATATATCACATGTTGTTTCATCTTCAGGAACATCACATGACATATATGGCTTCCACTCGGAAGCATCGTCGCAGACAAAAGGGGCATAAATCTCTTTTTCCCTTATGATTTCGTACTTTTGCATTGAATGTATTAGTTTCCATTTCTCACAGCTTAAACACTGGACCATTAAATCCTTCAGCAGGGGAGGTTCTGGTTTGGATTGGATAGGTTGCGCTTCTTCTGATCCTAAAAGTCCATCCCCTTCAAGGATGTTAAGCTCATGATGTATAGTCTCAGAGTGATCAACCGAACTGTTGTTGGATGCATTTCCATTGCAAGACGACCACATAGCGCTTGATACGAACTACCTGTAATAAATGATACAAGGTTAGAGATTTATATGAAACCACAAGTGTAACATCTCTTACGGCAAAGCAGAAAGTATTGTCAAATAAAAGAAGAAATGTCAAATGTGTAATCACAGATTGTTCATTAAAATTAAATGTCTCTATATGAACACAATATGTCTAGGAATTTAGGGTAAGCAATAAGCAAAAATCCAGAGAAAAAGTTGATGATCATAAAAAAAGTACAACATGAATACGAGTAACAAATAGTTTACAGTATAACCCTTTCGCATAGAGAAAATCATTCCAAAATCAAAACAAAATTGAGAAAACACATAAACGTTACATATGATGGTAGAGATGTACGAGATCTAGATCCATATATCATCGAACGAAAAAAAATCCGAGAAGTTATCATTTACACGAAGAAGAATCATAACAATACTGGGAAACAACACAAATCTTACTTCTCTCGACGAAGAGCGAAGGTGATCCTTGTGGGAGCAAAGAGATCACCTTTTTTACGAAGAGAAGAAAAAGATCTGGATTAGTTGGTGTCGATGACAATTTATGTAGTAGACTCAGAAAGAAAGGAGTGAGGCATTTAATTCATTTTTCATAGAAACACGTTGCAAAAATCTTTTGTTGACTTACAGTAATTTAAAAAATAGAGAATTCAATGAGGAGATTACCCGTGTATATATGATAGTTATCCGTAATTGCATTTGCAAAAAGGCCCTTCTTTCTATGCCCCTTTTCAAAAATACTCCCTACTTTTAACCATTTTAAAAAGGATCATTTTGAAAACTACCATGTTTATGAGTTATAGTTTGAAAAATAGTAAAATACCTTTTTCTATTTAAAATAAAACTACAATTTATATATATAAAATGACATTTTTTTCCAGATTATAATTAAAAGCTATATATTTTTAGAAAATAAAAACTAAATACGAAATTTAAATAAAATATATAAACTAAATTCTAAAAATATATTTTACTATTATTGATTATTTTTATAATTTTGATTTTAAGATAAATATGATTTATTGATTTTATATTTTAAAATTTAACAAGATAATATATAAAATATAATAAAATCTATCGCACATGTTATATAAAAAAATAAAACCTCCAATGCTTCAAGCACATTCTTCAGCTAAACATACCACCAAAATCCGATCAATAATAACGAATCACCAAAATTTTCACCTAATTTATAATGTTCACAATGACAACTTCTACTTTTAAATTAAAATACAGATTTTTTTTTTTAAATTATTATTAAGTTTTAGGAAATTTATTTTAGTAATTTTACATATTTAAATATGTTTTTTAAAAAGAAAATAAAAAGGGTGTTTTAAAAAGTGTAAAGATAAATAGGGTATTTTTCTAAATTTACCCTTTAAAATACCCCCCGTCATGTACTAATTGACTAAATTACTCTTTTTTTTAGTGAGAGCAGAGAATAAAACAGTGAATTTTCCCGCTAAAAATTATTCTTGGCACCAAAAAATATTTTTGCGCCAAAAATTTCCCTTAACATGCAAAATGATCTCATAATTTTTGGTGAGAAACGTGAATCCGCGATTTTTTTTACAAGAAACGTGATCGTGCATTTTGCGGAAAATTATACCTTGTAAACCCTCATAAAAACATTAAAAATACCTTGTAAAACGGCTTTACAAGGTATGTTTAAGGTTTTACGAAGTATTTAAGATATTTGAAAAAACTTTGTAAAATTTATGACCTTCTAAGAAACGTTGTAAAACCTTATAAATACCTTGTAAACGATTTATGAGGTATTTAAAGGTTTTACAAGGTATTTCTAAAGTATTTATAAGATTTTACAAGATACTTAAACGCTTTTAAAAAACTTTTGAAAAGTTATAACCTTTTAAAAATCTTGTATAACCTTAGAAATACCTTACAAATAAGGTATTTATAAAAATCTTGTATAAGATTTCGTCTCCGATATTAATTGTATCGTAATCATCAAATACTTGTAACCGTATTTAATCGTAACCGTTGAAACCGTAACTGTATTTAACCGTAACCGTTGAAATCGTAACTGTATTTAACTGTAACCGTTTTAACCTTATATAAAGTGGCTAAGGTTATAGTTAAAGAAAATTTATAACCGTAACCGGTGGTTAATCAACCGTAACCGTGGTCATGCCTAGCCACCACACCACCACTTTAATCGTATGCATATCTACATCACAAGAACATTGCACACAAAAAGATTTATTAAATTACTTCCACTCCAAAACATATTGATAACCCGTTCTAATTAAGTGAAAATTAGCGTATTTATATTCAACCTATGATGTATTATTAGTACTAAGTTTGTGATGTATTAATGAACAATAAATGGATAAAATATAGAGATATAAATTGATTATTTAATTTTGTTTATTTGAATGTTGTTGATGGGACAAATATCTGGTATTGTATCAAATTACCATTGTAAAATAGTATGGCCAAATAAATAGACAGACAAGTTAATTCATTACTTTGCTACAAAGAAAATAACTATCTAAATTCATAATAAATATGTAATGTTGTAAATTAGCAATGCATGAAAAACTTGCAAGATTAATGGGTATACAAGTATATTATTATCTTGATACAAACAAACTTAGAGCAGCTCTAACACTCGTTTCTCATTTGGTATCTCAAGAATTTCTTAAAAACGAACCAGAAATGAAAACTAGTCCATTTTAAGAGATTTTACTAGTCCATTTGAGAAACACATGCACCATTTGTCTCTTTTTTTAGTGGTCGGTTTTGTTTTAATATTAAAATATTAATATTTTAGTTTTTAAGACACTCAAAAAACTCTCTCATCGATGAGGTTGTTCTTAGCTAAGAAGAATGCATTCTAACAAGTAACAACCATTTATGACCTCGCAATTAGTTTTGTGAACAAGGATATATTCGTCACAATTATTAACATAATGTGAAGCAAATAGTGATGAAGAGAGAAGACTAGTTTTTGAATCAATGTTGCTATATAATCCAATGATTCATTAATTATTGAAAATATGAGATTTATAAGGGATATTGCGCAAAAGCTAAATTACAACCCATGACCGTAATTAAAATTTTTTTGTACAATGTATCACACCATTTATGCGAGCCCTGAATTGTGTTAGAATTGAGTCCATGATTAAATCTTCTAATATTATATGTGTTAGTTTGTATGTAAAGTCAACGGATGTAATGTGTTACATGTGACTTACCACGAACGGGTGTGAGTAAAAGACGTAACTTGTCGGAGAAGTTACAACTGTTACCAACGGTGACGTGGAGTAGTTATGTAAACATGTATATAAGTGTGTATGTCATGTCTTAACAAAACAACAAGTTTCAGATTCAATAAAGAGTTATTTTTGTTCTTGTCTTCTTTACAAGAGAAGAGACAAATGTCTCTTGCACTGTTTTTCTTCTTTCTCTCAATATTCCAACATGGTATCAGAGCTTATTTGGTCTTGGAGCCTGTCCAAGTAAAACAAAGATAAGAAGAATTCCGCTGCGAGAAGAAGAGAAAGATGGAGCCAACATTTCTTACGGTTAGAAACCGAAAAAAAAAAAAAAAAAAAAGGAGAAAAAGAAGAAGAAGAAGACGTAATAGAAAAGGAAGAACAAGAAGAGGTGGTAACAAGAGAGAGTACCATCAGCCTTCACAAACACATTCACATGAAGTACCTTCAAGAGGAAGGCTCCAAAAGCGATGAAGAAGATAGGAAATCTTCTCTAAAGGCAACGGGGAAAACGGATGTGGATTTGGAGTTGTGGAAGGAGAATTTTGAAACTTTGTTCAACAAGGTCTTGGTGAAGTTCAAGGATGCAAAGAAGACATCACTTGATGAAGTTGGGAATCCGAAGAGTTCTTCAACTGAAACAAGACGGAGGAAGCTTCTGTTGAGAGAACAGTGCAAGGCTACTCAGCAAAAAGGTTCAAGGGAACTGATGAGACGTCATCGAGACGTGATGGTGATCAAAAGAGGACACCATAAGAGGATGCTTACCTCGGAGAAAAATGGAGCACAAGAGGATGCTTACCTCGGAGAAAAATGGAGCATAAGTCGGTTGAAGAATAAACCGAAGACGACGTGAAGAAGATTCACGCACAAGACGTCATGAAGACGTTATGGTGATCAAAAGAAGACACCGAAGAAGACGTGGAGGAGTTCACGCACAGATTTGGTGATCAAGAGGGCACCAAAAGGAAATAAGAAGAAATCTCACTTAAAAGAAAATGAGTGGAAAAAAAGTTTCGAGAACAACCGGAGAAGACGTGACAAAGCTCACGTGAAAAAAATTTGAAGGTGACAAAGGAGAAGCCTTGTGGGAAAGAGAAATCTCAAAAGTGTGCAACGTCAAATACAAGTAGCAAAGAAGGTGCTCTGCGTGGTGAAGAACTGCAAGGTTAGGAAGGCCGAGAGAGCGTACCTAAGCCTAGAAGATACAGATGATGAGGGTCATATGCTGTTTAGTGCAGTTGAAGAAAGATCATCATCAAACGTGAATGATGAGACATGGAAAAGGGAAATATCCAAGTGATGACAAGCCAAGAAGAGAAGATCATCAAAGAGGTGTTTCTAATTCCGGGTTTAGCGAGAAATCTGTTGAGTGTTTCTAAAATGATATCTAAAGGATACAGAGATTTAACTTCACAGCATCTGCCCAAAAGAAAGAGGAAAACCGATGAATGAAGCATGCGATCAAGAGGGAGACACAAGGAAAGCTTACTAGTAAACTATGCCATCTTCGTGAAAGGGATTTGACCAGAGAAGTGGCAAAGCACCAGAGGCGAAGAAGAAACTATGGGATTGAAATCCCTAGATTGAAATTAGGGATTTAATCAAAGGACTCAAGAGGGAGTGTTAGAATTGAGTCCATGATTAAATCTTCTAATATTATATGTGTTAGTTTGTATGTAAAGTCAACGGATGTAATGTGTTACATGTGACTTACCACGAACGGGTGTGAGTAAAAGACGTAACTTGTCGGAGAAGTTACAACTGTTACCAACGGTGACGTGGAGTAGTTATGTAAACATGTATATAAGTGTGTATGTCATGTCTTAACAAAACAACAAGTTTCAGATTCAATAAAGAGTTATTTTTGTGCTTGTCTTCTTTACAAGAGAAGAGACAAATGTCTCTTGCACTGTTTTTCTTCTTTCTCTCAATATTCCAACAAATTGTTAGTTTTATAAAATAAATAAGGAGAATAAAATAGTTTTTTTTTTCTTCAAAAAATGGGTCCACTTTATGTTTATGGAGGATATAATTTCATTGTTAAAAATGGTAAGAAACCTTCTATATAAATTGGTCAAATTTTCTTTCAATCTTCAAATAAATATTTACATTTTTATTAATTAATGGAAATATAGGATTTATGATATTCCCCAAAAACTAAATTTCAACTAAAAGAAGAAAAAGATACATTACAACTCACAACATTAATTGAAAATTTGAAATCTTTACGTACAATGTATCAGACCATTTCTGCGAGTCTTGAAATGTTAGTTTTAGAAAATAAATTAAGGAGAATAAAATAGTTTATTTTTTTCTTTTTTAAAATGGGTCAACTTTATGTTTATGGAGGATAAAATCTCAATGTTAAAAAGGTAAGAAATCTTCTATATAAATTGGTCAAATTTTCTTTCAATCTTTAATCAAAATCATTATTATTTTTAATTAATTAATGGAAATATTGGATTTAGGAGATTCTCCAAAAGTTTGATTTCAACTAATATAAAAAGAAAAAGCTGAATTCCAGCTAATCACATTAATTGATTCTGTAATGTACCACAAGATTTTTGCCAGCACTAAACTTCCAGGCGTTTTTTTCTTCTATTTGAACTAAAAAAAAGTCTTAAGCTCCATTCATAGTCCTTTTCTCCTCTCTCTTGTTTTACTACTCTCACTAGATTTTAAACGTAAGTTTTGCTTTTGTCATTTTCCCAATTTTTTTGTCGATATCAAACTAGATTTCATATATTTTATTGTTTGCTGATATAATATATGTGATGCCGATATAACCTATGTGATGTAGAAAACACTCCTTTGGAGGGGTTTGTAATTTACAGTGTATCACAAGATTTTTGCCAGCCCTATAAAAAATTTCAGGCGTTTTTTGTTCTATTATAAAAAAAAGGTCTTAGCTCCATTTATAATCCTTTGCTTGTCTCTCTCTTTTTTTTTTCATCACTTTCACTAAACGTAAGTTTTCTTGTGTCATTTTTCTAAACATTTTGTAGATTCTAAGGCTTTGAATCAAAAAAAATTCTGATATTTAATTGTTTACGTCAATATAATCGATTTGATGTTGAAAACACTCATTTGGAGGGGTTTGATTACATATATTCATGCAATTTTTTTTTAATCAAAATTGCATGCTAATGATTTCAATAATTTTGTTTCAAAATTAGGTTTTTTCTTGAAAATGGACTCAAAAGCTGGGAAACAAAAGAAGAGAAGTGTTGACTCGGATGATGTCTCTAGCGAAAGGAGACCAAAGCGAGCAGCAGCATGCACAAACTTCAAGGAGAAATCTTTCCGTATCTCTGAGAAATCTGCAACTGTTGAAGCCAAGAAAGAGCAGATCGTGGCGGAGGAGATCGTGGCGATACAGTTAACTTCTTCTTTGGAGAGCAATGATGATCAACCTCGTCCAAACCGGAGGCTTACTGATTTTGTTTTACTTGATTCAAATGGAGTTTTACAGCCTGTGGAGATGTTGGAACTTGGTGACATTTTTATTGAAGGTGTTGTCTTACCTTTAGGTGATGACAAAAAAGAAGAAAACGGTGTGAGGTTTCAATCTTTTGGTCGAGTAGAGAATTGGAATATATCTGGTTATGAAGATGGTTCCCCGGTGATATGGATCTCAACCGCGTTAGCCGATTACGATTGTCGTAAACCTGCTAAGAGCTACAAGAAGATATACGATTTTTTCTTTGAGAAAGCTTGTGCTTGTGTGGAGGTATTTAAGAATTTGTCCACGAATCCTGATACAAGTCTTGATGAGCTTCTTGCGGGGGTTGCAAGGTCGATGATCGGAAGCAAGTTCTTTTCTAGCGGTGCAGCCATCCAAGAGTTTGTTATATCCCAAGGAGAATTCATATATAACCAACTCGCTGGTTTGGATGAGACAGCCAATAATCATGAAACAAGCTTTGTTGAGAATCCTGTTCTTGTTTCTCTAAGAGATTATGAGAGTAGTAAACTTCACAAGGATTTGTGTAATGTGACTCTGGGGATTGATGAGAGCAAGGCCGTGACATCTGATCAACTAATGGATGGTGCTGAGTACGAGGACGTAAAATTTGCTAAGCTAATCCAAGAAGAAGAGTTTCGGATATCTATGGAGCAGTCGAGAAATAAGAGAAGCTCAACAACTTCTTCTTCAAAAAAGTTTTACATTAAGATTAATGAAGATGAGATTGCCCATGATTATCCTCTCCCATCTTACTACAAGAACACCAAAGAAGAAACAGATGAGCTTCTACTCTTTGAAGTTGGCTATGAGGTTGATGCAAGGGACCTACCTTATAGAACACTTCACAATTGGGCATTGTACAACTCCGATTCACGTTTCATATCTCTCGAGCTTCTCCCGATGAAGCAATGTGATGAAATCGATGTCACCGTCTTTGGGTCAGGTGTGGTGGCCGAAGATGATGGAAGCGGGTTTTGTCTAGATGATTCAGAGAGCTCTACGCAGTCAAATGATCCTGATGGGATGAGCATATTCCTTAGTCAAATAAAGGAATGGGTGATTGAGTTTGGGGCAGAAATGGTTTTTGTTACATTACGAACAGATATGGCCTGGTAAGTTTACTATATTCCATTGCATGTTTCTGCCTTATTTGTTGCTTGCTGATCAAGCAAAGAACCATAATAGTTAGTCTTATCCGTACATATAAATTGCTTATCGAATATTTTCAAAAATTCGAGTTTTCGTTGCATTGATAGAGTTATATATTCGTTCGAGATCGACTAACTTTGCTATATTTTCAATTGGTTTAATTGACTTTGAAAAATTGGGTAATGATTTTGCAAAAATAAATATTTTTGGTTTTTACTTTTAATTGTTTTATATGAAATGAAGTTTTATTCTAATACCACCTCTAGCCTTCGTAATACTAGTCATGGCTCTGTTGCTGATGTATCATGTACGTGCAGGTATCGACTTGGAAAACCGTCAAAGAAATATGCTCCTTGGTTTGCAACTGTTATGAAAACAGTAAGGGTTGCGATAAGCATCTTCAATATGCTCATGATGGAGAGTAGGATTGCTAAGCTTTCGTATGGAGATGTCATAAAAAGACTCTGTGGGTTAGAGGAGAATGATAAAGCTTACATTTCTTCTGATATCTTGGATGTTGAAAGATATGTGGTCGTCCATGGACAGATTATCTTGCAGCTTTTCGAAGAGTATCCCGACAAGGATATCAAAAGGTGTCCGTTTGTTGCTGGTCTTGCAAGTAGAATGCAAGATAGGCACCACACGAAATGGATCATCAAGAAGAAGAAATTTTTGCAAAAGGGAATGAATTTGAATCCGAGGAGAGGCATGGCACCTGTGGTATCCAGGAAGAAAGCTATGCAAGCAACAACAACTCGCCTCGTCAATAGAATTTGGGGAGAGTTTTACTCCATTTACTCTCCGGAGGATTCATTGGAGGCGATTGATGAAGATGTGGAAGAAGAGGAGCTTGAAGATGTCGAAGAAGAGGACGAGGATGAGGAAGATGATACAGAGGAGAAAGTACTAGAAGCTGTCGAGGTTCAGAAGTCTCACATTCCTAAGAAAAGTAAAGCTAGTTCTGAAGATATGAAAATAGAATGGGATGGTTTAATTCTTGGAAAAACATCTACTGGTGAGCCTCTATATGGAAGAGCGCTTGTTGGAGGGAATGTGGTGGGGGTAGGTAGTGTTGTCATCTTAGAAGTTGATGATCCAGATGAAACTCCGGCGATTTATTTTGTGGAGTTCATGTTCGAGAGTTCAGATCACTGCAAGATGCTACATGGTAAATTCTTGCAAAGAGGATCAGAGACTGTTCTTGGGAATGCTGCTAACGAGAGGGAACTATTCCTGACTAATGAATGCATTACTGTTCAGCTTAAGGACATAAAAGGAACAGTTATTCTCGAGATTCGGTCAAGGCCGTGGGGGCATCAGTATAGAAAAGAGAACATTGTTGTGGATAAGCTTGATAGGGCAAGGGCAGAAGAAAGAAAAGCTAAAGATTTGCCAACAGAATACTACTGCAAAAGCTTGTACTCACCTGAGAGAGGTGGATTCTTTAGTCTTCCAAGAAGTGATATGGGTCTTGGTTCTGGATTCTGTAATTCATGTAAGATAAGAAAGGATGAAGAGGAAAGGTCCAAAACTAAACTCAATGAATCAAAGAAAGGATTTCTCTCCAATGAGATAGAGTATTCTGCGGAGGATTTCGTTTATGTAATCCCCAACTACATAAATGAAGACGGATTGAATACCGGTAAAAGAAGGCCAAGTTTTAAGTATAGTCAGAACGTTGGGCTACAAGCTTTTGTGGTTTGCCAGTTACTGGATATTATTGTCCTAACGGAACCCAAAAAAGGTAGTAAGGCTTCTTTTGAGGTTAACCTGAGAAGGTTTTATAGACCTGAGGATATCTCTGCAGAGAAGGCCTATGCTTCTGACATCCAAGAGGTAACAACTATTTCTTACGTATTAACTAAAAAAAGAAAAACTTTTTCTTACGTAAAATATTTAGTAATGTTTAAAAGTTTATCATAAGTTTATCTTAATATTTGTATTTTCTCTTTTTTTTTGTCAACTATTTTAGTTGTATCATAGCGAGGACACATACGTTCTCCCTCCAGAGGCTATAAAGGGAAAATGTGAAGTAAGGAAGAAAACTGATATGCCCTTACGTCGTGAATATCCAGTATTAGACCATATCTTCTTCTGTGAACTTTTCTATGACTCCTCTAATGGTTATCTCAAGCAGGTGAATATTTTAATTAATTTTGTAAATAGTTTTTAAAGATTATGGTTATTGTTGGTTCCAACAAAAAATTTGAACCGTTGTTTCTCTTAACTGTCATGTAACAGTTGCCTTCCAATATGAAGATGAAGTTCTCTACTATTAAAGACGACAAACTTCTAAGAGAAAAGAAGGGGAAAGGAGTAGAGAGTAAAACTGACTCGGTGATGATTGTGAAGCCTGATGAGGTACCGAAAGAGATGCGTCTAGCTACACTAGATATTTTTGCTGGATGTGGTGGCCTGGCTTATGGACTAGAAAAGGCGGGTATGTATTTTTCTCTGGTCATACACTTAATCTTTCAAAACGCTTGAACAACATGTATTCATATGCATTGTTTATATGTACACAAGGTGTATCGGATACCAAGTGGGCGATCGAGTATGAAGAGCCAGCTGGGCAAGCTTTTAAACAAAACCATCCTGATGCAACGGTTTTTGTTGACAACTGCAATGTGATTCTCAGGTAAATAGCCAACAGAAAAATATACTTTACTCTTTCATTTAGGTTATATCTTTTGCTGGGACCAGCTGATTGAGATTATTAATGACAGGGCTATAATGGAGAAATGTGGAGATGTCGATGATTGTGTCTCTACTGTGGAGGCAGCTGAACTTGCAGCTAAGCTTGATGAGAACCAGAAGAGTACTCTGCCACTGCCTGGTCAAGTGGATTTCATCAATGGAGGGCCTCCATGCCAAGTATATCTTTAAATTGTTGTTATACATTTTCTATAAGTTTTGTGGAATAATTGAAAAGCTTCTTAATGATTTGGAAAATTTGGCAGGGGTTTTCTGGTATGAACAGGTTCTGTGACCGCTCTTGGAGTAAAGTCCAATGTGAAATGATATTAGCATTCTTGTCTTTTGCTGATTATTTCCAGCCAAAGTATTTTCTTCTCGAGAACGTGAAGAAAATTGTATCTTTCAATAACGGGCAAACATTTCAACTTACTATCGCTTCTCTTCTTGAAATGGGTTACCAGGTAATATTTATTTCCTGGTCTGTCTATTCCACACGTGTTGGCGACATATGAAATAGAGCATTAATGGTTTTCATATAACAAATTTGTTGAAACATGTAGGTAAGATTTGGACTCTTGGAGGCAGGAGCATTTGGAATATCTCAACCTCGTAAAAGAGCTTTCATTTGGGCAGCTTCACCAAACGAAGTTCTTCCAGAATGGCCTGAGCCAATGCATGTCTTTAATAATCCAGGTTTTAAAATCCCACTATCTCGAGGTTTGCATTATGCGGCTGTTCAAAATACTAAATTTGGTGCACCTTTCCGTTCAATTACGGTGAGAGACACAATTGGCGATCTTCCACCGGTAGAAAATGGAGAATCTGAGATAAATAAAAATGTATGATTTGATAACATCAACACAAAAAAGTGTCTATACATTTCATTAACTTGAATTCATGGTTCTCGTGCCTTGTAGTATGAAGATGTTCCAGTTTCGTGGTTCCAAAAGGAGATGAGAGGAAACATGATTGTTCTCACTGATCATATTTGTAAGAAGATGAACGAACTAAATCTCCTTCGCTGTAAGAAAGTCCCTAAGAGGCCAGGTGCGTATTGGCGTGACCTGCCGGACGAAAACGTAAGTCTTACTCTTATACACCCCGCTATGGAATTTCATATTAAATCTACGCACACTTTAAACGTAATTTCTTATGATATTACAGGTGAAATTATCAAATGGGCTTGTGGAAAAATTGATTCCAATTGCTATGTCAAACAAAGCTAAGGAGCCCAACCGTTATAAAGGACTCTATGGTAGATTGGACTGGCAAGGCAACTTTCCCACTTCCATCACTGATCCTCAGCCCATGGGTTTTGTGGGAGTGTGCTTCCATCCTGACCAGGACAGAATTATCACTATCCGTGAATGCGCCCGATCTCAGGTAATAAAACTCTTATGTTCCTTCCTTGTTAGTCTTCTAGCATCAATATAAGTGTAGAGATTTTTGGTTTTGGAAATAAAGTAATATTAGCTTATGAATACAACTCTTTTAAGTGAAATTGTGGTTTTATAAAAACTTGCAGGGGTTTCCGGATAGCTATGAGTTTTCAGGGAAGAAAAAAGACAAACATAGGCAGATTGGGAATGCAGTCCCTCCACCATTGGCGTTTGCTCTCGGTCGGAAGCTCAAAGAAGCCCTACATCTCAAGTACTAATGTTATCATGGGTATGTCCGCCCCATTTAAGCCCACCCTATCTAGTCCCAACCCATTTAATTCTAAACCCATGTAAACCCATTTGAATTTGAGCTCCATTTAAACTTGCCCATTTAATTGTACTTAATCCATGTAAACCCATTTAAATTTGAGCCCATTTTAACTTGTCCATTTAATTGTACTTAACCCATTTAGACCCATTTTCCAAAAGGGTACAAAAGAAAAATACAAACCAACAAAACAAGAGATATAAGAGGACTAAAAAACATAGACTTGAAGAATTATGCAAAGACTGTAGAGACTAGAAGCAATGATGCAAAGGTTGAGCCTCGTGAAATAACTGCAGAAACTGTAAAAGAAGACCTGAAAAAATGGAGAAACTAAAAACTTACCTGTTTCAAATAAGAAGCAAACCTGAGAGCAGAAGTACTGGCTAAGCATCAGAAGATTATATTGCGATTTCAAGATTTTCGGATTACTTAAGAACTTGGTTTGGTTACCTGAGTAACTGTTCTGAAGCAAATGTCGGTCCAGGATAGTTAGACTAGAGCACCAGAGACAATAATAATTCGAAAAGCTTCCTACACAAATTTAACCAAGTGGTAAGAGACTCTTATAACTACAGAGAGCATCTCTGATAAAAGGAAAAAAGTTGAGGATGCCACATACTTGTCGTCATGTACAGGAACTCCCCATTCTTCGTCGTGGAAAGCAACATAGCACGGGTCTTTACAAGAAGGAAAAACACAACATTATTAGTCAATTTACAGCAGAGAAAGATATGAAACATGAGAGAGCAACAAACAATAATGGAAAGTGCCTCTTGGCATGGAAACATTTATGCTCATTAGCATAGAAAATCCAGAAAACGCTGCTTGGATTATACTAAAACCATAAATGAAGTGGATCTATCAGCTAATCAAAACATCCTTTAGTTAGATTTCATGGACACTGAGAAGTTAAAATATCTATAAGAGAACTTCATGACAAGCTACTACATAAGTTATGCAACATAGCAAATGATCACTGACCAAAGTACAGAGCAATTGTACCATTTTGTTGACCATTGAGTTACTTCAGCATACACATACAGAAGCACATAATTAGATCAAACAAAAGACACTAGCTCTTTGTCTCAAATCAGTCCCATTTGATATAACTAGAGAAGAACTTCATCGTCTCTTCACTGATTCAGAAAATCAGGTCAAACCCAATCTCACATTCATATTCACATTCCTAATGAGCTAATTTTCTCTCAAATTATATGTACCTTGACCAATCTTCATTACAAAATCTCCAAAACCCAAAACAGTTGTTCTATGAAAAGTCAATTGAGAAAGTTAGTGTGTATATTCCTTTGTACATAATACTCCAGTACAATATAAGCCATTAGTTTGGTTGGCTAAGTACTATATTTGATCTTTTAATATGATCTTACATCTTTCTATGTAATAGATATTGAGTAACAAGAAGAGCTAATCTTTCGTGGAGTAGCGACTGCGAATGTAGATGAACAAAGCCGTGGATGCAGCCACCGCATAGGGGAAGATCGTCCATATTCCCTGCACAAATATTGGAACCAAAACTTCAAACTTGTGTGAAAGCAAATTTACATTGGTTTCCTCTCTCAATTACTCTACTTACCACTGCAGTTGCTACTGTTGCAAGAGCAAACATGGGGCGTTCTCTAACGAGAAACCCAATCACAAGCTGAAACATTTTTTAGAATCAGTATCCTCAGATTCACATTGTAGCAAAGAATCGAAATCGAGTAAAAAGAAAAGTAGATAAACCTGAAGTGGAAGAGTAATCAAGCCGCCACAACAAACTCCTGCAAAGAAACACTCTGGAGATATTCCCTGTAAAGATTCATGTATGATAGGTTTGGTCAACCGTATGCTACATATTGAATCAACTCCGCAACACACTTACAAGAGCCCCGGCGAAGAATGCTGTAGGATTCCTCATTCCCAAAGAAAATCTTTCAACTGCATTCATAGAGGCAAAATAAAGTCATTCATCACATTCTAGAAAATATTTTCCACTGCATTCAATTTGCTACTTACCAAAACCTGAGAGGTTGCCGTACTTTTGGACAGCCTGAGTAATGCTCAGTGCTTTCTCCTTACCTATACCCAGCTTTATAGCAAAAATTCCGGTATCAATACGAAATGTAGAAAACAATCAGCTTTTGGGATACACATATTTGAATTGGAAAATAACCTTTGAACAAACATCATCTGATGCTCCACTTTGTCTAAAGAGCTTCCCAAGGTAAAACGGTATCATATCGCTTAGACAAACTCCCCTTTTCAATATTTTCAAGGAGCCAACAAAAACACAGAAGAATAAAGCTGGATGATACCGTTAAGGACCATTGGGGCTATGTTGTTTATAACCAGAGATATAGCTTTTACCAGTAAACCCATGACACAGTAGACACGATATAAGGAGCATTCCGAGAGAAAGACTCAGCAAACGATTGCCACGTCCCATCCAGAGTTAACATTCGAGCCAATGTTATCCCAACCTGCATTTTAACAATCATCAAAATGAAATCTGATTATAAAATGAAGCAGAACCTGAAAAGGATATTAGGAAGATGAAACAAAAGTACCGGCATAAAGCACAAACCCATATATTTAGAGCCTCTTCGCTAATAAAAAGCCCGCACCCAGCTGCCATTAGCAACCAAAAGTAAACCCATCTGCAAAAAGAAGACATTTGAGGTCTTCATAAACATACAAATCTGGTTCATAAGGAAGGTAACTAGAAGTAGTTTTGCGGCTAACCCTGGCGCATTTCCTGGAATCATGAATCTGTTTCCAAATGCATTAAACGTAAAGCCTTCTGAAGATGATGAAACTTTGGCCAAACTCTTAACCTCCTCAAAAGGTGAACCACCACCACCAGAGCCCTTCAAGGTTACACTAATTACTGTAATAATCAGAGCCAATCCTAACCCCAAACCTAACTTTGCTATGAATGGAACTCCGTTTCCAGAAACTCTTTCGTTTTCGATTTTAAGCATCTCATCATCATCTTTGCAACCTCGAGACATTTCGGAATCATTGTTTCCAACATTTCCTCTCTGAAAGCTTCTTAACTTGATCCTACCACAATAAGAACATCAAATTATCAACCAACAGATGAATTAAGCTAAAGGAAACAAACCCACAAGCCAATATGTTCACGAGCCATACTTGTAAACAAAATTCAGTCAAATTGGTTATCGAGACAACATTTTCAGATTGTTGATTGCAAACTAACAACTTCTCTTTGCTTCTATTGATTAACCTAATGGATAATTCAAAATCCAAGATAATCAAATTCCTAAATTCCATAATCATAACTAAATTATCAAGAAGTAAAACCTGTAACAAGGAAGCTTGAAGAGCGAGAAGGATCCATAAAGAACTCTGGAGCACTTGAAGACAACAAGGTTAGGTTTTGAAAGGTTTAAGAAAAACCCATTCACCGGAACCACCATCGAAGACAACATACTTGGGATTTTGGCTCCAACAAGACCGTGTTTGACTCTTGTCTGTATCTCTCTGTGATTCAAAGACCGTCGTTTATTCGAACATCATTCTGTACCAGAAAATTCCGTAAATAAACAAAAAATAAAATGATTTTCCATCATCTAAATTTTATTTTTACTAGACAAATAATATCCGTGAGATTTGTTTCGTAAATATTTGTTTGTCTTTTCTTGGAGTGATTTAGTATGTGTTTAAATTTTTTTTTTTTTGGTAAAAGGTGAAGTTTATGTGATTAAATTTTTGTTTGTTTTGTTTTGTTTTAATGTTAATATGTTTAAGTTTTTACAAATTTTTATATGTTTTTATATATTTTAGTATATGTACATATTTCTCAGCTCTTCTTTTACCTGAAAAAACTATATATTTTTTTCCATTCAAAGCATTCATGGTTTCTACTTTCTAAGGGCATATGCAACGCAATAACTTTTGTAATGATCTTAGAATTAAAATATTAGGAAATAAGTAAATAGTAGAAGAACAGGTGAGTAAAAGTTCTTGCCCAAGAACTGTTCTTCCTCAAGTCTTAGTGCCACGTAAACTTTTTTGGTTTGTTTTGTGCTTGAAAATTTTAAATAACTATTTTTAGTTGTTATGATTAACTTTTAACCACCAAATCACCTTAAATTAGTTAAAATGATCATTTCGAAATTCGTATCATAGTTTTTTTAACTAGAAAAAAAAATCAACTACCTTCACCTTTTTGTTCTAATGCTTTTGTTATTTTGTTTTTCTCATTTTCGTGTTGCATGTACTGATGTTTGATGTTTGAAAGATCACCGTCTTGATCAGTCTAGCAAAGAAAGAACTAAGAAACACTATTTGACCATCATATTCCAACGTAATCATATCGGAAAAAAACAAATATATATTTATAAGAACCCAAAAATTATCTCATTTATTTTTTATTTGAACGTTTAATTTTCTAAATTTTTTTGATTGGAAGAAAAGTGTTTTATTAAATTTATATTTTAGGTCTAAAAATATCTCATCTTCAAATTGTTAGTAAACTCAAACCTGCGACTTAACGGCTATTAGCGGGTGTTACCCAAAAGATATTCAGTCTATTTTTTGGGGGGAAGTTTAATATTTCAGTTTTTTTAGTGGGAAGAAAATTAATTCATTTAAATATATTTGATCTACAAATACTTCATCTTTGTTGGTGTGCATGGTATAGTGGTATAACAAGTGGTTTATTTAATATTAATGGCGTTCATACGATCAAAGCTCCATCTTTCGCAAACAATTTCTTTCATCTCTCTATTTTTATCCAAATCATTCTCCACTTCCGCAACTAAACTAATCTACGACCACGAAAACGACGAATCTGCGCCGTCGTCGTCGCTGTCCATATCTCTCTTTTGTTAACTGCAGAAAAGTTACATTCTATCATCAAAGATCACTATCACAAAAATCCTTCTAACTTCAACGATGTTGTCTTAAACCCTAGTTTAACCCTTCTTCCTCTCTTCCTCGATTTTTTTCAAATTGAGGCTTCTGTAATATTTCCTTTCGTCGCGCAATGAAGAGATCTCAGGAGTTGTAGAAGTGAAGAACATGAAATATTTAAAATTTATGTCCTTCATAAAGCAAATAGGAAAAAAAATCAGAAGATGTTCTACACGGGTCAAATAACCTAGGTGTTACCACAAAGTCAAGCAATATATTTGTAAAATTTTGTATAAATATTGTATATATCTATTTATATGAGTGAAATTAAAATATAATGTCTGTTAATGGATGTTAAGCCGCGGCTTTGAGTCTACTAACAATTCAAAGATGAGGTATTAAATATATTTAAATGACGTATATTTTTTCCAACCAAATATAAATAGATGGAGTACTTTTTGGGTATTTTTCCTTTATAGTTTAACGTCATTCACTGCTTCCATAATGTCCGTTAAGTCAGAGGTTTTATCTACCAACAATTCAAAGATGAATTATTTTCGACCGAATATAACTAAATAAGGTATTTTTCTTCCAACAAAACAAAAAGGCGAGGTATTAAACATCTAAATAAAAAATATATGGAGTTTTTTTTCGGATTTTTTCATATATATACTACTTTTATTCTTAAACATGGTTTTGATTTAATCTTCTCAATTAATTAATACATGATTTAGGTTATAGAATAGATTTAAGTCCACATCCCCACAAATTATAGGTTATAGAATAAAATTGTGTTATCCTTGACGTGGTTGATGAGAATGGAATCTATATAAATGTCTTTTGTGAATTCAACAGGCTATGTTCAATAAGTTGTCAGTCTTGTGATTACACTAAGAGACCGGTTCTGCCGCTAGTCAGGTTTGGTTTTAGTTTCATTGTCAATTGTAATTGTTAAAGTTAACTCCTTGAATGGTTATGGTTTTTCAAATGGTTTTTGGTTTTAGATTTCCCAAAAAGCCATTTTAAAACCATTTAAGATTTTGAGACAAGTGGATTCCTAAAAAAATAGGGAATCTAGATTCTAAGAGTTTTCACTAGTTTTTGTAATGGTTTTTGGTTTTTGTTTTTGAAAAACTTATTTTTCACTCATTCAAGATTTTGTGAAAATGGTTTTCCTAAAAATAGGGAATATAGTTTTTGGAAGCTTTTAACAATTTTCATTGACAATCTAAAATCCATTTTATTTGGGTTTTTCACTTTTTCTACACAAATTCTCAACGTAAGATTTTTTTAGTTTTGTTTTTATATATTTTTTTTTTTGCAAAATCGGAAAAGCAAAAATCAAAATCTAAAATCTAAAAACCAAAATCTGTAATCTAAAAACTATTTAAAAACTCACCACCATTCATAGCCTAATTTCTTAACAAAATCCAAAATCTCATTTCAATGGGTTTTTAAGAATTTACTCTACGAGATTTTTTTTTTTCAATTTTCCATTTATTTATTTTTACAAAATCTAAAAACCAAAAACTAAAATCTAAAATCTATAATCTAAAAACCTCCTAAAATCTCCCAAACATTCATGGCCTTGTTTGATCTTATTGGCCAACAATAGTTTTCGATAAGTTTTTCCTCTCACCAGAAATTTAATTGGTTTATATTTGTGCTTCAATTTAGGTAAAGCAACAAAATAGTATTTTGTAAGAAAGAAAAAAATCTTCCACAAAAAAACAAATTATAAATATTAGACGTAGTGCACTTATTAATCCAATAATTATCTTTTATCCACAAAATGAATCGTCTCATATTTTTTATTATAGTTATTGTTATGTATTCTGGGTTAATTGAAGCTTGCAAGAAAGATCGTGTAGAAATTCATAACCAACTTGGTCCTGGGAGTATTCTCACATTTCGTTGTCAGTCCAATGAAAACAATCTTGGCATCAATCAGTTAAACTTCAATGCTGCTCCATATATAATTCAATTCCATGAAAGAGTTGGCGGAGGAACACGTTGGAACTGTCATTTCATGTATGGAAATGAGACGAAGTATGTTCAAGACATTGTAGTATATGAAGGAACAACATTTTTTCCTCGATGTGGTCAGTTACGTTCATGGGCTGCCAAATTTGATGGGATATACATGACAAAAAAGGCTAATCAACCATATGATAAGGTAGTACGATGGGATTAACCATAAGGGCTATATTAATTGATATGCCGAGACGATCCAAAAATTAAGTATCTATCCATGATAATATTGTAATTAAGTAATTATGAAAGAGAAAGAAAAAATAAACCAAGTTTCTCCTTCTACTTATGATTCTTTCTACTTATGATTAATAACGAAAATGTCATTGATTAAAAAATTTGTTTTCCTACTTCAATATATCTACGACACTGTTCATTCCGACGTCGACGATACTGTTCATCACCGGATAATATTCATCAACCACATAACGACACTGCTCATCTATGTGAACAGTTATTTTATTTACATGTTAAATGATATATTATCGTGATAAGTTCATATAATATGTGTTACATTCATAGTTATCGTGTTAAACGAGTTATCATATCATACAAACTTAATATTTTATATTAATTTAGAATTTTGAATTAATATATATTTGTAAAAAAGCTAATTAATTACATGATAAAAATATTATAAACAAATTACATAGAATGGTAATGATAACAATAATGATAACGCACTACACATACTTGTAACGTGTTAAGATATTGAATACATCAAATAATATTAATATTAATCTGTTAATACATTAAATAGTATTATATATTGATAAATAAGGATGCCGACGAGACACCTAACAAATGATTATGTATTAATTTAGATATTTATTTATTTAACATGGTAAAGTAAATTGTATGTCGAAAAATTAACATTTAACACAATACAAAAATTATAAACGTGTTATATAAAATATTAATAAGATACAAAATTTAATAAAAAGATAAAGTTTTGTGTAGCGAATTACATATTTTTTTACCATGTACCATGTTAATACATTACTAAACAAGAAAACATAAAGTTACAAACTTAATAAATGATTACTAAAAGATCGTTTAATAGATTAACCAAATTTTTTACGGTCTAAACAGAGTTTTATGGGTTAACGAGTACGTTATCTCTGTGGGACGAAGTCCGAGACACCCTTCACCATATTTCCTAATCTCCTCTTCCAACTTTGTCAAAAAAAGTTTAATCATCAAATTTTTCCAATAATGACCACTGATAGCTCGCCGGATTCATGAACCTCCAAACCCACATGATATCTTGCTTTTGTTACTTGAATGACACCACAATTGAACCAAAAATTGAACCATAGACTATGCCGGAATCCAAAACTGCTGTCCACCTTGGCTTTACCCGTCACGGAATTCAAAACCCACTCTTAGATTTTGTTATTTCAAGTTTACTAGGATGAATTCTTGGCCGGAGCAATTTCGCCGGAAATGTGCAACGAAGAGAAGAGAGATATAAAGGTGAGAAATTAAAAAATAAAAACAAAGAGAGAAAGAAGGATAGTAGAGTAATCTCCTTAGTTTTATTACTATAGAAATAGTATCTATT